CACCCTCCACCCACGCCTTCCATCCCTTCCCACGGCACCTCCCAGCTAACGGATCTGCAGCGGCTTAGACACAACCCAACCCACCCAAAATTACCGTTACAGGACAGGGAAGCTCGCAGACGCAGTACAAAGTCTTAGAGGGGTGTCTCCACACCACGCGGCAGCGCGAGCCCTGCGTGGAGACATCCGCCTTGGGAAGTGGTTTAACAGCACCGGCGTGAAATGCCGACGTGTTCACAGCATTAAACTGCTGGAGGCCGATGCTGCGTGACCTGCTCCGGAGGGGGGATCCCCGGGCTGTGCTCCCCAGCCCTGCTTCAGCATCACCCCGCACTCCGACTGCCGCCGGAAGCCGAGGGACAGAAAAGCGCTCCTCCGACACCGCTTTTCCAAGTGCTCATTTCCAGAAAGCCTGGTTTGGTCCAAAAAAGCCCACCCCAGTGCCATTTTAACTTACAGAGGGGGTTCACAAGGCATTCTGACAGAAGAGCGAGCACACAACACGCTGTACCAAAGCTGGAGACCCGCAGCCGAGCGCCAGAACGGTCACGGAGCACGAGCAGCAGCAGCACTGTAGTTCCACTTCAAGAATAAGTTTCTTAGTGGTGTACGAAGCGTAGCACTGGAACCTAAAAACGTAAGTTGTCAGAGAAACAGCTGTTGTTCACTACTGCCTTGGCACTACTATGAACGTATCAGCAGGATTCGACAAACCTCGAGAAGTTAAATCCCACCGTAGTGAACTTGGAAGGAAAACTATTGTGCAAGAAATAGCATATTGTATTTAACCCTTATTTTAATTAAAGCTTCTAACTCCTAATTTGCCCACAGGGATGTTACTTTTTGCTGTCTTTTTTCTTATATGAAGCAGGTTACAATTACAACCAACAACTGCTGGGCTGCATCTCCAATTCACTCTGAGATGAAGTCAGGCGTGTTTGCATGAGAGGGACAAGATTCTTTATAGCAATTAATACTGGTTTTAAAGTTATAACATATACCATTTTATAGTAATTTCTAAAATTATTCCTAGAAAATGAACACTTGGATTAACTATCAATCACTAAGAATTCTGTGACACATATAAGCACCTTCCCTAGTCTGGGACTGATCCCAGTAACCCTTGCTTCAGGTTTAGTGTATTTCAGTTATATTTAGAATTCAGGCAATAAAGCCCCAAACTTGCTTCCAAAACTTGACCCCTCAGCTGCTGCCGCCCAACTCATCCGGCACATTCGGAGAGCACACAGTCAGCCCTGACCCCTCCCAACAAGGGAGCAGCTCCGCAGCAGGGTTTCTGACCATCCAACCTGGAGCAGTTTCTCTGCAAGCACAACCGACACCAGAACCAGCGAGAAACAGACTTTCAGCAATACCTCTGCTGAAGCGTTACTGGGGAGGTTCAGGAGCCTTCCGGCTCACCAGTGCCTCATTTCCTGGGTGTCGAAGGCAGCTAGTTCCTCCCCAAGCTCCAGACCTCTGTACGAGCAGATGTCCTCGCCCCTTCGCTGCGCACAGCCTCGGCGCAGCAGTCTGAGCCAGTACCGCACAGCCAGGAGTCAGCAGCAGCTGGCCCTGCTGCCACAGCCTGCGGTCCACACGTACTTAGCCAGAAACATTTCAGTTTTTCAGACAGGAGAACATCTTCCAAAACAAAAACCTCCTGAGTCTTAGCACAGATGCTGAGAAACTCAACACCTGGAAGCAAGAAAATGTTCCTCCAAAAGAGAAATACCCCCCTGCAAGTACACCTGCACTGCAGCTGGTTTATCAGCCCATTACATCCCAGAGCATTACAGGTAGTGAAAGAAGGATGAAAGACAAGTTAAATCCTCTGAGTGCACAAGTGGGGGGCCTGTGTATTAACACGATTTAAATTGTCAAAGCCATAGCCCAGAAAGTGACCCTTCCCATCTAACCGAAGGAGCGCGGAGGATACACCAAGACTGGCCTAATCACTGTCCACTGGCTCATTTGCACCATAATTTAAATATGGCCAAAAAGCTACAGTAAAATGGGTTGAGTATCTGAAACGAACAATTACAGTGCCCACTTAGGTAATGAAGATGCACAGTATACCACTGAAACTCATTAATGACCACTTCCTAACAGTGCACTGGATTAAGGTTTCGGTAGTATTTTTCTTGCTCACTAGACATGAAAACAATTATTAAGAAGGACAGAAAGTTATGTGCTCCGTAACACAGAGGCAGACCCATCCATATTCTCCTAATGAGAGCTGAGCCCAAAAAAGATGAGATTTAGTCCTATATAGCACTGCAACACACAGCCGTGTCACAACTCAATTCTTACATCTAGATGCAATGAATACAACAGAACGAGTGTAATAACCACCCCAAGGTTCTTTAGCATTACATTTTAATTGAATCTGAAGAACTTGACATTTTGGTATCTCCAGTGGAAACCCATTTTCATACGCAGCACGGCCCTGTGAAAGACGGAGCACACCAGCTGTCTTTATTCACTCCCGAGGGGTCGCACGAGGCTACGTTGTATATTGCTCCAATAGGATCTACAAATGAAGTTGTTCAGAGTGTTTCTGCTCCCAGTGTTCCCGTCCTCTTCCATTAATTTTCTCCCTTCAGGACAGGCAACAATTCACCGCTTTCCTTTAGTTCCTGTAAAGAAACAAATACAGCAGTAGTTGTCTCTGTACACTCTGCGATTACGGTAACGGGCAGTTTATGGATAAGGAAATCAACTCCCCGGTGGGCAAGGGAACACACTGGATGAGCACCAACAGGTCCCTCCTGACCAGGGCACTGAAGCTCAGGAAGCTGTATTTAAGTTCAACTGTATGTCTATTTAGCAAGAGAGGAAACAAGATATACCCTCAAAAGAATTGGTTGTTACCAACTTTACCAGGTAAACCCCCTGGCTTCTGTTCATTAACCTCCTCCCAGATGTAATTCAAGATATGTTTTAGGCTTCCACAAAGTTTTACACATCCAAAATGCCTCCCACAAAATTAAAAAGTGACCATCCATTGATAAATTTTGTTACTGTCACGAGACAGTATGAGTTTTCTAAGAGTTCTAAAGAAGAGGTGCTTGCTCACATCTTGATGATTTAAATTCAAATTAGGAGGCTGTTAGCTTCCTAAGGAGATCAGTAACAGCAGGAAATGGGTTTAAAATAACATGTTCATAGAATCATAGAATGGTTTGGGGGGGAAGGGACCTTAAAGACCGTCTAGTTCCAACCCCCCTGCATGGGCAGGGACACCTTCCATAGCCCAGGGTGCTCCAAGTCTCATCCAGCCTGGCCTTGGACACTCCCAGGGATGGGGCACCCACAGCTTCTCTGGGCAACCTGTTCCAGTGCTGTTGTGTAGTATATACTCTTCTCCCACATCTCAAGAGAAACAACTGTCCATTTTATTCCACATTATGCTGTTTTATGGAATGAATTTTAAAATACAGACATTTACCCACCCATAAAAGTTAATACAGCCCAACAATGCCAGCAGACATACTTAAATACCAGCAAGAGAAGCATCTCGCAGCATCTCTGCGACGCCCAAGACTGCACCTGCTGATCACCAAAATAACCCCCACACTTCTTAAATAGATAAGATTAAAGTAATCTATATAATTTCAGTAATACTGTTATTTTTAGAACGAAATGAGATTTATTGATTGCACCTTCCCAGGAGTTACGACGTCTGAGGAATTGGCTATAAAACATTCAGACAAGAATGGGCTCGGGAGTATTGGGGGTTCAGAACACTGTGCCTGCTCTGTTACGAAAATCAAAAACCACAGAAACAGATGCAGATCTATTTTTGTTGCTTCAGGGTCTGTTCAAACAACTACAATAAACCTCAGTTCCTTCCAGGAATGAGACTGACTGCTAGGAAAAAAAGGTCTCAACCACCTTATTTGAGAAAAGCAATGTCAGAAGTAAAACCAGGAAGAGAAACCTGTAAAAATGTACCCGTGGGGTAAAAACGGTCTTTACAGTAACAGTAACTGACTGCTGTCAGGAAAATACATTTCACTGCTACCCCTTGGCATATGAGAACACTGGAGATTTAGGGCTCCTTTCAACCCACGTCGCTCGGTTCCAAGATCCGGGGTCACTACACAGGAACTTCTGATTGTCACAGGCAGAAAACGCTTCCAGAGTTTTAAACAAACGGTCAATTTACATCTTGAACAAGACTCACCCATTCCTACCTTAACAATATCCACCCCTCCAACAAGTTCACCTTTCACATACAACTGAGGATATGTCGGCCAGTTGGAGAAGGTTTTTAATCCTTGCCGCACCTAAGAAAAAATAATCCTCAGTGTGAATTTCAACTTCAGTAAAAGCAACAATTAAATCCTCAGTGAGGGAAAGACTTCATTACCTCTTCGTCTTCCAGTATGTCAAACGTCTCGTAATCAACACTAGGGGAAAAAAAAATAACAAACAAGATCATCTACTGTGGAGTTTTGCAATGCAAGACGCTCAAAAATTCAACATGGGGATGTTTACAAGCTTCCAAATGGGAATGAGCAGGTAATAGGAGGTGAAAAGTCAGCATCTTATGCGCAATGTAAAAAACGTAAACTGTCAGGGGAAACTTCTTACACGCACGGATGACAGTCCAGTGCAGTAGAAAAATTCAGCTGTGGAGCTTAGTTCTAATTGGCCAAAATACGTTCAAAGTAATTCTGTTCACTATTAGGTTAAAACAGAAACCCACAAACACACACGCACTTTGGAGGCTTTTATTAAGGAAGCAGCCAGCTGCAGCTATTTCACCATCTTCATAGAGCACTTGTGTAAATCCACAAAAAGAAAATGCCTGTGTAAATTTGATTTCTGTTGACTCAGGTACGAGTTCTGGTACTCAGTTCCCAGAATTCGAAGAACCAGCATTCTTCAATAACGAGCAAGTTAAGTAGATTCCTGCAAGGGACTGGGGCCAGCGACAAGGAGCAGTGATTTGAGTAACTGCTACCTACTCCTGAGCTGTGCACGGATATATAGTTTTTATCTCCAAAAGCCCATTCTAACAGCTAGTAATCGAGACAACTGCTTAACCTCTAACCAGCAGTACAGGAGTTTGTTCAAAGGAAAATGATGCTCATCTCTATCACAACAGAAGGAACTGCTTTGAAGAGGAAAACTGAGGCCAGATAACATGAGAAGCTCCAAGATTAAGAAAGCAGATCAAGAGGGACCTCTCTAAGAGCTGCTTATCAGAGTGGAAGGATTTCTTTCATGTCAACAATCACAGCAAAAAGGAGAAAAAATTCACTGTTGCAATAAACTCCCTAATCCAAGCCAGACAATCACGATGCAGCAGCGCTAAAGCAGCGAAGGACCTGACACATCGCATTTGGCTTGGTATCAAATGAGTGTAGTAGTGATGTACTCTATGGGCTTCTACATAAAAATACTTTAAAATACTCTTAAACGAAGAAAATTACGTTTGGGGAAGTCCTCCACTAATATTTTCCAAACACTATTTATAAAATGTAGTTGTTCAAACAGAACTGGCTTCCCCAGTTAAATAAAAAGCCACTTACGTACCCAGTACTATTTATGATTTCTATTATCTGCTTGCTGAATCCACATTTTGCCATCTAGAATGCAAAACATACATATGTTAAAACATGTATCTGCAGTATTTAAATCCACAGAATTCCAGGCCCTCAAGCTACACTGAAGCTATTACCAATTTATGCTAGTGATGACCTTCCTGATGAGCAACACTGCTCATCCTTCCTTCATTCTCATCTGTATTTTTGAGCTTTAAATAGTACTGGGTGTCTCTTTCTTTATACTCTCTGCTGAAATAAATGAAAACACTGAGAATATTAAACACTTTACTCAGTTGCTGTGTGAAATGATACAAGGTGAATCTGTTTTCCAGGTTTGGCAATACCACCTTGGAAACTAGCTCGGCCCGATTATTGTCTGCACGGTGAAAAAGCCAAAGCTGTAGGGAGGATGGGTGTAAATGCCTTACACGTGTTTTGTTTGGAGACATATGCCATCCTTTCCATTGTGGGGAGAGCAGCAACCTGCAGTCAACTGGTAAATAGGTGCACACACAGCAACTCCCAACTGAAACTATCTACCGCGCGCTCTTCACGCTGGCAGTACAAGGACATACAACACCCATCATTTTTGAGACATTTCGGTTTTAATCCAGACTATCCCTTCGTCTCAGTGATTTCACTCCACCAGTAGCTCAAACAAAATCAGAACGTGTTAAGCAACTTGCCCAAACTCCTGCACTTTTCAGGCAGGACGCATGTTAAAGGAGACAGGAGTGCATCTGCTGAGAAGACCGAAGCACAACTAGCTCATCCCCACTGTTTTGCTGAGTCAGCATAACCCACAAGGTTCCAGTGGTGAGGAAACTCTTTAGTGACACAGCCTCTTACACTCTTAAAAGTGGCTGTTGTTACTACACAGAGAAGGCTCAGGGCATGAATGAGAAATGACATGGGAAAGACAAGTCCCGAAGGAGCTCAGTCCTCTGCCTCCGTACCCCTCTACAACCCGGTATAAACAGCTCTCCCAACATCCCACTGCTACCTACAATTCCTGTTCAGGGTTTAGTCTGGGGCAGGGCCGTTCGAGCGATTTTGACAGGGAGAATCGCAGCGCCCTGCTGTTCAGAACGAACGGTTTATCCCCTGGTTACTCTGACCACAACACCAAGCAACAGACTGACCTTTTGCTTTACAGCCATTTGTTGTTATTTTAATCCTAACTGTCAGCAGCTGTCTTCAGTCGCCATCTTTATTTCAGTGAGCAAGATAATCGTGTGTGGCTAAGACACCAGGCACAGACCATTCCATGCATGTGAGAAAGCCGATGGATTACTTCTGCTATGTGGCATTATACTTCAGCCTTAAAAACATCTAGCGGCCTTTTTAAAATGCAGTTGTGAAAGCATAATGAAGTCGGGCAAATTAAAAAGGGCAGGACACCCAATCCAATTAGGTCAACAGAGGGAATACTCAAGAGAGTTTATCCAGAGATAAATTTTTGGGCAATAGTCAAGGTGTATGTCTCAAGTAGGAGAGACTCGGCGGGGCAAGCACTCAGAACATCAGAAGAAAATCCATTATCTGCGAAGACTAAGACCAAAAGGACATGCACAGTTCATCTATCCGTTCCTGAATTGTAGCTCGAGGGACAGCCACCTCCGCAGGGCATCAACTCCCCCAGTTTTACTCTAACACTGCTAGCTCCATCTTAGCTATGCATTTCCATCTGGCAAAATAGGAACTGCCCTTCTATGGCTTACAGAAGCACCAAATAAAAAGACAAATAACCTCCCAGCACCATTAATTTTCATTAAGCAAGGGAAAGAAGGTAATTGTCACTGTTTAAATATAATGTAATATCACTTCAACAGAACTTGACCTTACCTGTTTGCTTCCCTTCATAAAAAGCATCACAGGAGCTTTGTTTATCAAGACTTTAAGCCTACAGAAGGCACAGAAAAGACAGACATAAAACAGCTCAGTTATTATCCCAAGCTTTGTTTCAACAGGAAAACAAGATGTGGCAAGAGCATCTTACAGCTTTACCAAATGCAGTTAAAGCATTATTATAAGCAACTCTACTCATTTAAATTACTTACAGTGACTTATGGACGTGAGATTAACCACTACTGAAACTCAGGAATAGGTCTGTTATTCTGAGACTGTGTGCCTTGTCCACTTCTGGTCTACCTGCAGAGCCCTCAGACACTCCACTCCTTTCAGGAAAGGTTTTTTGTGACAACTGATAGAAAAGCAGACCCCTTCCTGTGCAGCAGTCCCCTGCTAAGGACAAAATACCTTCTATACAGATGCGTAACAGGTGATCAGCTTCTGTAAGAGGTCATGCTTTGCATGAATGCAAATGTAAGAGGTCATGCTTCGCATGAATGCAAAAAGATTCCAGGCTGGCAATCCAGGGTCTTTGCAAAATAAATCTAAGTGAGGTGTTGTCGGTGACCTTCAGCCTTTGCACATGTAAACCTCAATTTTTCCAACCAAGCTGTCTCTAGGTTAAAAAGCAATAGCAAACTTAACAGCTACAGCAATGGTGAGCTACAGTAACCTGAGCTGCTTCCCCCAGCTGCCAGATCCATTTCCTGAAACCAAGCTGATGTCCAAAGTCCATTTTCAAGGGCATTTTCAAGTGAAGATGCAGTTAATGGATGGGAAAAGATCAAACATTTGAGGAACGTAATTTTGCATAAAACAGATTCTACTACTGGTATCCCTTCATTTTATTAAGCTGCAGCTTATGCAGGTTTGCAAAAAGGAAGGAAGAGACTGAAGGAATCTTTCTAAAATAACCTTTTTAAAAGGCCACCCTGAGACAATCTCATAGAATCATAGAATGGTTTGGGTTGGAAGGGACCTTAAAGATCATCTAGTTCCAACCCCCCTGCCATGGGCAGGGACACCCTGCATCTCACCTTTACCTGTAATTTAATACCAAACTGCAAAAGTTAGCAACTGTCTTTTTTGTGGCCGTGGTGAAACAATTTACAAGCCACCCTACTAGAGTAACAAAAGGTAAACCTCAGCCACAGAACAAATTGAAAAGGAATTAATAAACACACAACTGTGAAAGCGCCTTATCACCATACAAAACTTGCTCTTACCATCCCCAGACAACAACAGGGAATCTATGCTAACATACCTGCCTTCAAGGTACAGGCCACCTTCTTGGTAAACCAGCCCCCCTTTGCACACCTTAACAGCACTATTCACACAAAAACTCGGGGAAAAAAGCCACATCTATTAGCAGCTTCTCAAACAGAACGACTTGTCAGATATCTGGAGCTTGACTGCCTGGGGCACGTCAGAATTTCAAACAATAGTGAATCTTCAAATGGGAAGGTTAAAGGAAGACAAATTGGTTTCTAGATAATACATCTGATTCAGGAAGCAAGACATTTCCTACTGATGCAGCATATATTCATGTTGCCAAGGTGACAAAACAGGAACTGAAGGACATGAGCAATAAAGTAAACTGAGAAGACAAGCTACATGTTTTCTCCAGTGACATCATGTGTACAAAGTCTATGCCAAATAAAGCTACAAAAGCTACTCATTTAAAATATGATTTTCTTTGGTGTCTTCAAGAATAAATTCTTAAAAGGACAAGAAGGAATCTACTCCTGCTATAACCACAAATTAACAAGACACAAACATTAACAAGCAAAGCCTCTTGGACCAGTATAGCTTAACAGATAGGCAACCGTACAGCTTAATATAGTGTGATGCTTACTGTACAGAAAGCAAAACATATTAAGCAACTGCAGCAGTTCCGTAGTTAATGACAATCTTGATGCTCCTCCGATAAAGTCAAAGAACACAAATTTATACAGGGATTCCTCCTATATAAATGAACATACAGGAAACTCAAAAGACACTTAAAATATCGTCATGACGCAGCACACCTTTCCTCCAACTTCTGTGCCTTCGGACAGACTGCGTCCAGTTCTCCAGATGCCTCAAGTTCCTAGGGAGATTGGGAAGAATAATTATCAGATGTAAAAAGCAAGAACAACATGCTTCTGACAGCTAACACAACTGAGAATTTCTTGATTTCTAACCTTGACAATATCAAGTCCACCTATAAGCTCTCCAGCTACGTACAACTGCGGGTATGTTGGCCAATTAGAATATGTTTTCAGCCCTTGACGAACTTCTTCATCAGAAAAAATATCAAAACTGCTAAATGAAATACCATGGTTGTTCAGTATCTCCACCATTTGTTTGCTGAAACCTGCAAACACAAAAAGAGGAATTACATCAAAGTTTAAACAAAGCGTTCCCATGACCATACTCAACCTCAGAATCA